TTATATATTCTAGATTGGTGTTGTGTAGTTGGAATTGGTGTATTTTTTAGGAAGGTCAGAGTGTTGAGGAATAGTGAGAAGTTTGGTTTGAAAGTTTGTTATGCTCTTTGTGAAAAAATTATTTCTGTGGATCATATAGTTTTGTTGATTTGTTTAAAAAAGTATCTTGTTGGTGGGATAGGGATATTGTTTAGGTTTTTAAGTGTATATTGCATTGGTAATGGATCGATTATGTTGATTTGTGGAAGTTGAGAGTTTAATGATTGTGTTTTTGATATGATGAAGGTAGGTTTATAAAAGGTGTGAGAGATCCGGAGAGTTTGAAGAATGTTATGTATATTTGTGATTGTATTGAAGTATAGGACTTTGCACCTTTTCCTGTGATTGGCAGGCGGTGAAGCGAAGATGTTGTTGTTTAGTTTTGGATATTTGGAGAAGAAAATATAGTCTCTGGATTCGTTAGAGAGGAGAATGATTATTATTGTATACAGAAGTGAGAGGAGAGGAAAAATTAATATTAAAATTTTTATTAAAATTTTAAATACATATATAAACAAATTTGTTTATATTATAATTTAAGAAATAATAAGTAAATAAAGTTAAAAGTCATATTAAATTACAAAATTCGAAATATTATAAAATTATTAATATTTTAAAAAATAAAATAAAAATTAAATTTAAGTTTATTAATTAATAATATTTCTTGAATAATATTTAAAGATTATATATAATATTTATTTTGAAAATTTTCAGAAGTTTTGAAAAATTTCTAGATAATAATTTGTATAAACTAATTAAATTTACAACAAGAAGAATTGTAATATAGGATTTATTTTATAAAAATTTATTAATAAAATATTATATTATTTATATATAGTATATAAAATTTAATAGTATATATTATATTAATTTTTTTATATTTTAATATTTAACAAGTATTTGATTTAATATTATACAAAAACTTAGACCTATTTTTTCTTAAAACTTATTTTAACAATAAAAATTTTATAGTTTTATATCAAACAAATATTTTATTAACCTTAACCTTCAATTATTTTATATTATCTTTGTATTATCTTTGAAACAGTTAAATAGATAATATTAAGTTTTGAATATTTATTATTAAAATAAATAATATTATTTTAATATTTTGTGTTGTAATAATTTTTACATATTAATATGTTTCTTTATAAAAAAAATTATTAACTATATAATAATAATAAAATATTACTAGTCAATTAATATACAATATTTTTATATAAAAGTATATATAATATAAACATTTTTTAAAATTATATTTTTATTTCTTTATAAATTGTATTGATTTTATAAAATAATAATTTTATAAGAAATTGTTCCTTTATAAAAAGTTTTTTATAGAAAGTTGACTGTATATTAATAGAATTTATACAATATTAGCATATTTTAAACTTATTTTACTATAGAATTTTATCTTAAACAAAAAGAAAAATAAGAATAAAAAAAAAGAAGAAAGTTTCTTAACAAAGTAAAAATAAGTAAAAAAGTGTTTTTTTTTTATTGTTAAATTTTGTAAATTTTTTATTAACAAATACTGTATTTTTTAATTGTAAATATTTTATTGATAAAAAAATTTTTTTGTTAAATATTATATTTTTATTATCAAATTGTTATATATTTTTTAAATATCAAGTAACATAAATTGAATTAAACAATAAATTTAATTAACTGTAATTTGACCTAATTTGAACTGGTGTTAGAATAGTTGATAAATATTTTTTGTATATAGTTGCATAAAAAAACAGTTTTATGTTATTGAAGCGTGTAAAACTTTGAAAATTAATATTTGAAAAAAATTTTTTTTTGTAAAATATAAATTTTTGATTGCATATATGAATAAAGATTTGGATACTGTGTATAGTAGTATTTTCATGTAACAAATTTTCAGCCACGTATAAATACTACTATATTACAAATATACAGTATATTTCGTGTCGTATTTTCGATTCTTTTTTTTTTAAAAAAATGTCGGAATACTTCTCCAAAGCAGCTGCATTTGCACAAAATGCGGCAAAGCTATCGAAGAAGATGTCCGAGGGGCTTGTAGAGAATGCGCGTGAATTTGGACTGGAAGCTACATCCTCGAGACATTATTTCGACACTTCGGAGGAAAAAATGCGTGATATCAAAAGACAGCTAGACTCCAGACACGATCGCGAAAAAATGGACGGATTGAAAAGACTGATCGCGGTAAGCAAAAAGTATTAATTGAGTTAGCATTGGAATTGAATTTTGAACAATAATTATATAACCAACCAATTTAATTGAAATAGATGATATCAAAAGGCCGTGATGTTTCAGAATTTTTTCCTGATGTCGTAAAAAATGTGGCATCGCAGAACCTTGAAATACGAAAACTTGTATACATTTATTTATTGCGGTATGCTGAACAAGAACCTGATCTCGCATTATTGTCAATCAACACATTCCAAAGAGACTTGACAGATCAGAACCAGTTGATACGAGCAATGGCCTTACGAGTGATGTCTGGAATTAGGGTTCCGGTCATTAGCCCAATAGTGTTATTGGCAATAAAAAAGTGTGTGACAGATTTATCGGCGTACGTAAGGAAGACAGCAGCTCATGCCATTCCGAAATGTTATAGGTAAAAAGTTAAACATCCTATGAGAAATTTGCATTATATATTCAGTAGTTGACTTATTTTTTGTGTTTAGTCTTGATCCATCGCAGAAAGATGCATTGGTTGATATCATTACTACGCTTCTCAATGATAATTCGCCTTTTACAATTGGTAGCGTTATAATGGCATTCGACGAAGTGTGTCCTCAAAGATTTGATTTAATTCACCCGCACTATCGTAAACTGTGCAAGATGTTAATTGATACAGATGAATGGGGACAAATAGCCATTATTAGTCTTTTGCTACGATATGCGAGGTATTGATGATCTTGAATTGTTTTTCTTTAGTATCAAAACATGAATTCAAAATATTTTGCATACGCAGGACCCAGTTTTTGAATCCAAATCCAAATTCTAATGTAGGCGAAATAATTAAAATATTAATTTAACAATACAATATTCAAGTCTTATTAAAAGGTGATTATCATTCTAGAACGAACGCACCGTTCCGAAGAAAAAATCTAAAGATTTTTATTCAGACGAGGAAGACTCAAACGACTCTGATGATTCTCTGGATGAATCATTCTCGCTTGACCCCGACCATGAGCTTTTATTAAATTCATGCATACCTCTGTTACAAAGCAGGAATAGCTCTGTAAGTCTATATGATCAAATTATAATTTATAATGAATGTTCTACATACATATTTTAACATAACCTTGATCAAATAGGTTGTGCTTGCTGTCGCTAAAGTTTTCTATCATCTGGCACCGTCTTCGGAAGCTTACAAATTAGGAAAACCTTTAGTGAGGTTGTTACATAGCCATAGAGAAACACAATATGTAGTACTAGCGAATATTGCTACAATGGCAACACAGAGGCCGGTGCGTATTCGTTTCTTGTTTTTTTTTAAATATAAATGGTTTAATCGAATGTGATGTAATATATTGAATAATAGGTTTTAAAATATTCGCGTCATTAGTCTCTTTTTGAACCCCACCTTCAACAATTTTTTGTTAGATCGACAGACCCTGTATTCATACGCGACTTGAAAATGGAGATTATGACATTGATTGCAACTGAGAGTAACATAACAGGATTGCTGAGAGAACTTCAGGTTTTCGCGTGACTTTACTTCTCATTGAACTCGCCAATGTAATATTTATACCTCAATTATTTATTTTTAAGGAATATGTAAAAAGTCCAAACAAAGATTTCGCTACTTCCGCAATACAAGCCATTGGTCGTTGTGCAATAGGAATGCCGGAAATGGCTGAGAGTTGTCTGAACGGCTTGATGAAATTACTTTGGAGTAAAAATGGTAATTTTATTTAGTCGAAGATCGTACATATTAGCTTAACCATACTTAAATAAAATTTTACTGTTAATTCAGATGCAGTTGTTGCAGAGTCGGTTGTGGTCATTAAGAGACTACTGCAATTAAGACCTCAGGACAATGTAGATATGATAATGCAATTAGCAAAGTCGCTGGATCAGATTACAGTTCCTATGGCGCGTGCAAGTATATTTTGGCTTGTGGGTCAATATTCGCAAAATCTTGAGAAAGTAGCACCAGATGTTCTCAGGAAAGCTGCAAAAACTTTTACAACAGAAGCCGATGTTGTGAAATTACAGATTATTAACCTTGGCGCAAAGTTATTGTCACTGCATCCGACAGATCACACCATTAATCTTATTACACAATACGTTCTCAATCTTGCACGATATGATCTGAACTACGATATCAGGGACCGCGCGAGATTTCTCAGGGGCCTTGTCTTGATAAATGGAAAAAAGGAGAACACGGGCGAAAATGTAGAAATAATGGAGACTTCGCAGTCTACAGAGGCCAATATTATTTTAACTGATAGTTTGAAACGGATACTTTTATGCGAGAAAGATGCACCTTCTGAAGAAAGCCCTTCTGCAGGTACGTTATATTTTAGAATGTATATTATTATTCTTAAAAGTATTCTCGAAATTTATTTTCGCATCTTCAGGTCGAGATCGATTCACCATAGGATCAATGGCCCTCGTCCTAAATCACTCTATTCCTGGATACGAACCATTACCCGATTGGCCAACTGAAAAACCGGACGGATCTCTACGTGACAACTTGGTAAACTTAAATTATCTTGCTTTGTAAAACTTCCAGCCTACGATATTAAATAATATTTATGGTTAAATATAGGATGAAACATGGAACCGTAGTCAGTCTATAAAAGGATTTGGAAGTGAATATATTGGAAATTATGCTCGGTCATCCACCTTTGAGGGATCATTTACAAAAAAACGAAAGGATGAATATGATCTCAACCGATTTTATGATTCTGAAGAGTCGTCTTCTGGAGAAAGAGAGGAATCTTCAGGTGAATATCAGTTTTAATTCAATCCTTCCATAACTAAATTTTCATTTCAATAATATTAATTATTTTTTCATACATTAAATGTCTGTTAGCTCTTCAATACCACTCATTTGGAGATGAAACTTCGGAGAGTGGAGAAGAGACAAGCGACGAAGATGTTGCGAGTGATTCCGAAGAAGAAGATGAAAGCTCTGAAGAAGAGGAAGTGACTGAAGAAGAATCCGAGGAGGAAGATGAGGATGAAGACGAAGAACAAGAGGAAGTTGAAAATATACAGAGAAAAGGAAAATCGCGTGATATATCGAAATGATATATAAATCCATTTTATTTAGTCGATACATATCCTTCACTTCTATCTATTAAGTTGCATTGTAAACCATTCAAAGACATTTATAGAATTGTATTAGAGTCGGTGTTGAATATATATGTAATTTCTCGCAAAGTTTTTAATATAATAATGTATCGCAACCAATTTACAGTAATTGAATTAATTATACATCCGTTATGTGAATTAAAAAGACAGGTATTTTATTCTGAACTCTTCTGATTGTGCTGTTAAACTTTAGCTTCCTCTTCATCGAGCTCGATATCTGGCAACGGAAAATTTAAAATAGCCGCTACACCGGTAAGTTGGTTAAGTTCTATTAATTAACGAAATAAGTATTCGAGTATATTGGAAACTGGAAAGTCGATTATATGATTAAATTTATGCTTACGCTCTCCCGAAAAATGTAAACTCGAAAATATCAGCACTTTACCGCCTGTAGAACGTACAGATTCGACAAGCTGGACATATTTCCTACGAGTAGGAATATCTGCAGATCTAAATATATATATATAATATTAGTCATGAAAATAATTTATCCCTTGTTATATCTGTCAATACCTGAAAAGCTCATCCGAAAGAAGCAACGTCCCAATAGCTCCTCTTTCTTCTGCCTTTTTGACATGGTCCCAACCATAAAAGGCTCGATCTGAATCTTCGTTTAACATCTTGTAGAATTTTTCTAGAGCTATAACTTCTCGTGCGTATTTAGTGTCAGATAGTTGACCTTGTATGTTTGCATCTTGCAAAACTTCTTGTAGTGCATGTTTATGCCCCGAAGAACAGTGAATTAATATAAATTTTGACTTATTTTCAAGAAGTTGTTTAATGTCATTTTTCTGGTCAAAATTTAGAATTAGTGACGGTCAATCATAATTTCTCAATAAAATATACGAAAATTATTAAATACCACGGCCTCTTCAAAAATATATTTATAAAGTTGATCCTAATATTTCATGATAAAATTTTTAAGAATTCCTTAAAGATCATTGCTGATAATATACAATCTATCTTACCTTGACAAAACCAGGACTGGCGCAAATGACAACTTTGACTATTTCAAAATTTACATGAAGTAAAATTGCTTGCATGACTTGTTCATAAAACTTTTGAAGTCCCTTTATTAATGTCGTTAATAAAAAATTAATATGGTAATAAGGAACATTATAATTAACGATGGTACATCACCAACACACCTTCTCATAATTTGTCACCGATCCCTTGCGTTTCTTGGGGATAGGATGTTCAATTCTTTGCCGTACAATAGTCATGTTCTGGGTGACCAAACATATATTTGCTAGACCTGCACGCCAAATTGCAATCAGACACAAAGAAATTCCAAAAATAATTTAATTTAAGACGTACCCTCTTGAAGGACAATAGCAGCTACGTCGGCCTGCCTGGTGATATCACAAGCTTCTTCGACACGTTCAAGCGCAATAATATCCCATTCTTGTTTAGTAAGCGTAAAATTTCGATTCAATTCAAGATCGATCGTATGATATGTGCCCATCTGTAATAAGAGTTAAATTTAGTCCAAATAAAATACTGATCACAATGCCAAAGGACATACCTTGACATATTTATTTTCACCAATAACCTTCCCTCGAATTCTTAATAATCCTCCTTGTGGGTCAAAGTCAATTTTTTCCACCGTTATGCTCAAAGTAAGTTTTATTCTTCGTGAATCCACGGAACCGGTTGTACTTTCATTCTGAATACGCCTAAACAAATGAATGTCTTAATGGAATGTGTACAGAACGAGTGTTAGCGACTAATTTTACCGTATAGTTGACGCCTTAAGTTCATCCCCTGGGGAAATAAGATTATAAACGTGCCACATGTCTTCCAAATGCTCAGGGTAAAGGGTAATAGAGCCCTAAATTTATGGTTATGATTTATGTGGATCTATTATACAAAGCTAATCTTACAAACTAAAATTCTTACCGAGCGATCCCTTTCGATATTTCTTCTAACTAATCTCATGTTTAAAGTTGATTATATAAATTTATGTTGTCTGTAGGAAAGAAACAGAGTTGAGATTTTCACCAGATCTGAATATAGAAATGTTTTAATTAAAAAAAAAATCGATCATATTTCCAAAATCAGTTTAGCACAATACTTTACATACTGTATATGTATATATAAGTTTTACAGTAATGGCTTTTTCATTTATAAAAAATTATTTTATGAAAAAAATTTTTTATTAGAATTAATTATATATGATTTTATTATTTTAGTAATCAAAATTCTATCTTTAATTCAAAATATTATAAATTGTATTACAGAATATACAGTATATGTCAAATAATTATACAATATAATCTTACTAAATTATTCAATACAATATTATATACAGTTTATTTTTATTATAACAGACATCATTAAATCAGATTCGTTATTATAGTGGAGCAATAGTCTAAAACAAATTTAATTTATTATTATTATATTATATAACATTATAATGAATATTTGATATAATAAAAGTATTTTTTCAACTTAACAAATCCATTATAACAAGGATAAACTGTATATGGTATAAATTATTTTATTGTTAACTTAATTTTTAAAATTCTTAAAAACAATTATGTATATTATAATTCAATTATTTATATATTTTAATAGTAACTTAATTAATTATATCAAATAATTGTATTAATTGTATTAAAGATTTACAAATTTTTGTATATATATAATAAAATCAAAAAAATATAATATTTTTCTTTTCTGATATATAATATTTATTACTAAAATAAATATTTCAAAAATAAATTATAAAATAAAAATCAAAATATCAACTTATATTTTAAATATTAATATCATTATATAATATAAAGTTTATAAGTATTATATATAAATTAATTAATTTAATTTACAAATTTTTAAAAAAAATACAAAAATTTTAAATAGTTTTTTCAATATAACAAATCTAAAAATTAATTCAATCAAATTAATTATATTTATTATTAAGAATTTTAATTATTTGATTTAATTCAATTTTTAATTTTTAGATTTATATTAAATTTAATATATAAATTATAATCTACTATTATTTTTAATAATGTTTTGAATTTCATATAAATTTATACAAGTCTGTTTGATTCTAATTTTCAGAATTATACTTATTATTAACAATACAAAATAATCTATTATTAATTTTTAAAAAAATTCAATTCAAATACAAAATAAAAATTTTAAACATATAAATAACAAGTATAGATTTAAAAAATTTTAAAAATAAAAAATTTTTAATTAAATATATATACTGTATATAACAAAATATAATATATATATTATTAATTAAGTATTTATATTGTTACAAAAAAATAATAATTGACAATATAGCTTAAAATTTAAGGAATAATAATTATGTATTACAGAAATTACAAAAATAGATAATTAACTTTCAATTTTATTATTTTTATTATTTTATTATTTATGATTTTTTTATTTTATTATTATTTTTTTTAATTAGTTAAAGATATAATATATAAGAGTTTATTTTTTTTTTGTTTTTTTTAAGAACTAAAATACAATATATATATAAATTTTATTGTCAAATTAGTAAAAATTACTATTATTTATATATAAATAGTCTATTAACTTCTTTTGAATGAGAGATTTTCTCTAGTAAATAAATATATTTCTTTATTTGATTTGTATATATCAAGATATATATTATGAAAGAAACAATATTTTTATTTACAAAATATAAAAAGTTAAATGCTAGCTTGCCTACTTTACAATATTTAATTAATATTAAAAAAAATTTCAAAAACAATATTAAAGTATTGGATAAAGAAGTAATGCCTATACCTATCTACTTAACAAATTTTATAAATCTTTTAAATTTTAAAAGTAAAATATAAAAGAGAAAACAATAAATAAAAATATATACAATAATGAAATAATTAGGGTTGAAATTAAATCAAATAAATAATAAAATTTTTAATAATAAAAGTTATATTTCCAAAATAATCTCTTGTCTAACTATAAAAACTGGAGTTTACTAAATTCCTTAATTATTTATATATTATATACTTTAATAACAAAAAAATTATAGTATTGTTAATGTTATTTGAAGTTATTATTATTATTATTATTATTATATTGATAAACTAATTTAAATAGATTTTATTTTTACTTTGTTATTTTAACAAAATCTGATTGGATAATTGAAAAGTATTGATTATTTAAAAAAGATAAACTGATATAAAGTCCGTCATATCAATTTTGAAATATGGATTTTTATCAAAGTTAAACCAAAAGTCTTTTATTAAATTTTTTTTTTTTTGATCTGTTTTTAGCTTACAATTATTAGAAAAATCAGAGATCCTATATTTATATAATCTAACTAAATTTAAATATTATTAAGAATTATTGGATATATAATATATGCAGAATATTTAATAAATCTATATATAAAGATAAATATTTATTTATTTTTTATAGATATTAAACCAAAAACATATGTTAGAAAATTTTAAAGTACTATTCACTATATTATTGACTTATAAATTTCAAATTAAACTATTTTTATTCTAATATAAATTAATACTATTTAATAAATACTATTTTCAATATTATTAATTTTTGTTAAATTAATATAACTATTTTGATTAGTTAGCTTTTTAAATATTAAGTAAATAGACTTATATTAAATAAAACTTATACAAAAAAAAATTTGTATTAATAGTTTAATTATATTTTTTAATTGCTTGTTAAGAGAAGATTATTATAGAAATTAACTTTAGTATTTTAATCATTATTATTAATCTTTAAAATATGTTATTAGTATAATATTGTACTACTGTTTTTATTATTTGTAAAATTAATGATTTTATTTGAATTCTAATTTAATTTTAAAAATTCTTACTAGATATATTTGATTTTAACAATTTTTATTTAAATTGTTATTATTTATAACTAATAACCTTTGTTTTTTCAATCCATATTTTAAATTCAAAAAATATTACTTTTGAAATAAGCTTTTAAACTCTAGTATAAGATAAATCAACTTAAGTTATTCTTTTTGAAATATATAATAAAACTTACTGTTTTAATTAAATTTAAATTAATAGAAATATTTTATATGATTATTAAAAAGATTAAAGACTTTATCTTTATGTAACTTATCTAAATTTGGTTGTAATTAAGAATTATTAAATATAATATATATAAGATATTTAGTAAACCCATATATAAAAATAAATATACATTTTGCTTTTTGTAAATATTGAACTAGAAACATGTATTTAAAAACTTGAAAGCATTATTTACTATGTTATTGATTCACAAATTGATAAATAATAAAATTTTATATTTATATTTAATTAATTTTAAAATACAATTATTAATTATAAAAAAATATATTTAAAATCTTGAATAATTAAAATTAAATCTTTTCAATTAGAATTATTTAATTTTTTTAAAATTATTTTTTTCAATTCTTATTAAAATACAATTTCATTATTTTCAATTTTTTATCAATTTAAAAAATCATAACTTAAATTTTGTTTTTATTTATCTTGTTTTTTTTTAAAAAAATATAATAAAAATCAAAATTATTTTAAAAAAAATATAAATCATGATTTATGAAATTTTATAATATTGTATATTATTTTCAAATTACTTTTTAATATTCTTTATTAATATCATTTATATAATAAAAACATAAGACAAAAACATGTTATGATTTATTTATTTTTTATAATATTGATATACCACTATTTATTTTAAATCAATTATTTTTTAAAATGTAATTAAGTATTTGATGTTAAATAGAAATTTTTAAAAAAACCAAAAAAAAAAATAGTGACAAAGAATTTTATTTAATTTTATATCTTATTTAAATAATATAATGTATTATAAATTTTTTTTAAAAAGATATTTTATAATATTTAATTTATTTATAAAGATTTAATTATTTTATATAATACATGACTTGCATATATAGTATAAATAATATGGGTTTTATTGTTGAAATAAACAAATAACAAAAAATTTATTATATTGAATTATTTAAATAAATATTTAAATAAAAATAATTCCAAAAACTTTTATTTTATTTATATGATTAAAATATAGTGAAATTCTACTTTCCATTAAAATTTACCAATGGACATGTAGATTTTTCCTTAGAATATGTATAATATGCAATTTTATAGTAATTACAATTTGTCAGGAGTGGGGAGAAAAAATTATTCATTATTGTATGTAATTTATGAGATGAAATGTAATGTGCCATTGAAATTTGATTTTTATAACTGAAACATGGCATTTGTGATTGGTTTAGCATTTAACATTCATACATCATCATTATTTCTGTTCCTCAAACATCTTTCTGATCATCTCCGTGGGATAAGACTTTGGTCGTTCGATGGGGAATCCTCTATTTAAATTGAAACAGGTTTGGAGTGCGTCAACTTCACGTCTTTTGCTAGATAAAGTATATCACCAGGAGATTTGAAAATACTTACAAAGCTCGATCCCAAATTAATTGAGCCAAAACGCCTAAAGCTCTCGAAACGCCAAAAAGCACTGTGTAAAAGTTTTGTTCAACTAATCCAAAGTGTTGTAATAATACACCAGAGTGCGCATCAACGTTGGGCCAAGGATTCTTTGTTTTACCATGTTCGAGTAGTACGTCAGGCACAATAGTATAGAGCTGTGACACAAGTTTGAAAAGTGGATCATTTGGGAGGTGTTTTAGTGCAAAGTCCCGTTGCGCTGTGTAACGTGGATCCTATGAATCAGACAATATTTTTAGGTGAATCACACCCGAGTAAATTTAAATGATCCAAAGTTGACAATGGTTTACCGTTTTTCGAAGAACCGCATGTCCGTAGCCCGGTATTACTTTACCGGATTTAAGCGTGTCCCATACATATTCTTTAACAACTTCATCACTCGGGGATTCGCCAACAGAATCCCTCAGTTGAAAAATCCAACGAACTACTTCTTGATTGGCAAGACTGAATATATATATATATATATTTTTTCAAAAAAAAAAAAAAAGTCCATTGCCAATAACACTATGTTAATGACATAAAAAACAAAAAAACGCGACTTTTACGAAAATGGTTACCCATGTAAAGGACCAGCCAATCCATTCAGAGCTGCAGAAAATGAAAGATAAGGGTCGGATAAAGCACTTGATACAAGTCTCTAGATGTTAACAGTCGATAGATATCTGGAATGAAATTAAGAAATAGTATAGATATATTTCGGACGTGTGAAACAAAAATAAACTTTACCGTGGTGTGGGCTGATACATTTCCTCCTTCGTGATCGGAGTGGATTGTGAGGTAAAGTCTCAACAATTCCACAAAATCTTTGTCACCGTCATACCCAAGAACTTTGGCCAAATTATAAGAGTAATCTTGATTGGGATCAATTGATGGTACCTTTCCATCCTTGTAAACATTTCTATAGATTCTACCGACAATATTGGGAAGCTTGGAAATTAAGTCCATGGAATCTTCGTATACATACTGCCAGTAAGATTTTTTTTCGACACCACTTTGATATGCTTTAGCAAAATTTGAATCGTGTTGTAATGCAATCACAGCCAATGAGAATTGAGACATCGGGTGTAAGGTGTTTGGACATCCATCAATCAGCTCTTCAACAAATGACGGAATAGCTGAACGAGCGGCCCAGTCGGCTGAAAGTGCTCGGACCTGTTCTTCTGTAGGGACCTCGCCAGTCAGCAGCAGCCAGAAGAGACCCTCCGGTAGAGGTTCCTTACCGCCTTCCGCTTTCGGAAGTTTTTCTCTACACTCGTCAATGGTAAGGTCACGGAACTCAATGCCTTCTTCGGGATCCAAAACAGATCCTTCCCAAACCAAACCCTTTATACCCCTCATACCACCATAGATCATATCGACCGTAACGTTTCCCATACTTTTTGTGCCATGTTCCTTCTTTACAAATTTGATCTCTTCCTGTTTTTCGGGAATTAATTCCTCAATGCGTTCTTTGAGAGTCTTTTGAGAGGTTGTTGAAGTGACATTAGATGATAAACGAGATTAATAAATAAAAAAATAATTGAGCACATGAATTGTGAAAGTGCCCGATTATCCATCCGATCGGATGAATATCACTAATCAAAAAAGGGATTTGACCAATTTCGAAGTGTTTTGTTTCAAAAAATAACCGAAAAAAAACTCACTTTTGGCCTCGAAGCATAAAATCTAGTACACGTGGCCGATAATGCTTTCCTCGGCAAGGGATTGCTCGCACTTATCTAGACAAAGGTAGAGGCAAATCAACAAAGTCACGCGTTAGGATCGAAACAGGACATTCGTGAACACTGATACGTGGATGTGTGCTTTAAACCTTTGGTAGACGATAAGAGATGCGAGAAAATGTTCGCAACAAGGACATGATATAAATTTCTAGATTTATGCGAGATGAAGGTTGGATTCGGTTTGCAGAATAGATCCCTATATATATACACACTGTGTATAGTGTGCATGTATTTTTTTTTTATTAAAAAAATTTTTTTTTTTTTTTTTTCTATAAAAATATGTATATTAATATTATAATCGGATGTCACCGGCATGAGAATTTACGGGTAGTATACGTATTTCGTAATCCATGTGTATATAGCACATGTAACTCGCGTGGACAAATATGTGATAAATTGGATGAACATGCTTACCCGAGATGAAACTTTGATGATGAAAACTCAGATCAGATCTAATTCATTCTAGCATATGTGCATGCATACATACTTAAACGATACCAATAATGGCTATGCACACCATATATGGTTAGTCATGTGTTCAAAGATAATGCAAACATCAATCATGACGTTTCCAACTTCATCTCAGATGACCAAAATCAATAAAACGTCGTACTACCTTTCTTGATTGCAATTCAAAATTCTGTTAAAACATAATGTCACAGAAAGGAAAGAACCAACAGGTTTTAAAAACACAGTCGATCGACACGGATCTTTACGACTCTACAGGAGAAAACCCCTTAGAAAAAGAAGACACGGAAAAGACTCGATCAATCGCCAAGAAACATTCAAAAAAAAAAAAGAGGGCAAGAGTTGAGCTTAGTGATAAAAAGGATGAAATTGAAAGAAAATTAGAAGCTTTGGTTTTTGGCGATGGGGAAATTGAAGAATCGGATAATGCGATCGGCGAGGGAAATGATCATAAAGAAAATCAGAAAAGGGATGAGATAACAGAAACCGAAAAAGAAGGCGAGATTGAGAATGTCAGCAGTAACTTTGGTGACGCAAGCGAATCGATAACGAAGCCTGTGAGTTCTTTTCAACTGCTAAAAAGTTCGAAAAAACAAGGAGAATAATTAAATTTCTGTTTAGATATTTGTTATCGACACCTCGGCGTCTATGCCAACTGCATCAATTAGCGAGCCCGAAACAAAAGATGAAGCAGAAGACCCAACGGAAAGCGCCCGTGAGTAATTACGGCATGCTATTACAAGAATCATCATCTCTTTTAACTTTTAACATTGTTGCAGATCCATCAGAAGGTAATTCAGGATTATTTGGTCCTGTAAGCGCGTGGCACGATTCTGACGATGAGAAGGTATACGTGTCATTGAAAAGCAAAAATATGTTAAAAAAATTAAGAAAGACCGAAGAAGAGAATGTTATACCCGGTGATCAATATGAGATGAGATTGAGACACCAGTATAGTATCAGCAATTTCATCTTTTATCATTTTATCAGTCAGGCTGCTTAAGATTAGTACTATTCAGGTTTGAGAAAATATATCCGGTACCAAAATGGGCGACAAAGTCCCAAAAGCGAAAACGAAAACAGGAGAGTGATTCGGATGATTCGACGGGTGAGGAATCGTCCGGTGAAGAAGCTTCGGGCGGAAAACACGATGGTGGTGGTCAAGACTCGATGCAGATAATTGAAATACCAAAAGTAGCTCGGTCAAAGCTACTGCCCGTGGATAAACTTGAAATCAGTAAAGTGAAAGATGCGAACCTACAGGCGTACTCACAAGTTGTCATTTATTATTTGTGTTTAATGTTGGATGTGTTATATGAACGAGTTAATGAATCAATTTTCTCGAAAAAATAGTGTGTCGTTCAAGTAGCTACATTCCATCCAAATGCACGAGTAATCATGACTGCGGGGTTGGATAAAACTATCCGATTATTTCAGGTTTTAATTTTATTCATTATTGAATCGTATTAACTTTCAACCTCGGACGTGTTTATGTGTTAACAAAATATAAAAATGTAAAGGTCGATGGCAAAATAAATCCAAAGATCCAATCCGTAGTTTTAAAAGATCTCCCAATATATCGTGCATCATTTAATTCAAGTGGCACAGAGATAATTGCTACCGGTAGAAAAAAACATTTTTACATCTTTGACATCGAGGCTGGTAGCATTGACAGATCTAGCGGCATAACAGGGTTCGATTATAAATCGTTGGAAAATTTTTCGATATCGCCGTGCGGAAAATACATCTGTTTTCTCGGTTCAAACGGAAATATGATATTGGTGAGTTATCATACCAAACAATTCGTGGCCAGCATGAAAATGAACGGAACAGTGAATTCAGCGCATTGGTCAAGCGATGGAAAGTATTTGTTCTCAATTGGCAAAGATGCCGAGGTGTATCAATGGGATGTTGGAGCTCGAAGATGCGTGCACAAATTTCAGGACCATGGTGGGTTTAGACCAAGTATTATTTCAGTTGCCAAAGATAACCGTTATTTTGCTATCGGGTTAGTAGTGACAATAATATCCAAAGGGGCTTCTTTATGTCATTAGTGAAATACACTGCTTAGACTCATGCTATCCTTTCTTTGACTACAGGTCGAATTCCGGAATCGTGAACGTCTATGACGACACATGTTTAAATATGGTCGATCCGAAGCCTTTAAAGTCGATAATGAACTTAACAACCAATATACATGATATGAAGTTCAATCATGATACTCAATTGCTTGGTATCTCGAGTCATTCCAAAAAAGGACAACTGAGAATGGTAAGCTGATTCGATTCTAATTGTTTTCTATATTATATTATCATATTTCAAGATAGGTCGTACTTTTTATAAACATTTCGTTTTCTCCTCTTTCTTGATTAACATAGATCCACCTTCCCTCACTCACTACATTTCAAAATTGGCCAAACGTATCAACGCCTTTGCGTTACGTGCAGTGCTTCGACTTTTCACCGTCTAGCGGATACCTTGCTATTGGTAATGACAAGGGAAAGGTGCTTTTGTACAGGTTAGGGCATTATGGTGTGGCATAGTTTGATGATAATTTACGATAATGGCTAAGATGGTAGGCTAGGGCGATTTGCCATATATATGTACATGCTAGAGCTGATAATTCTTATTAAGTTAATTCTTGAATTGAAAATTATGATTTGGATTTCATTTTTCATTTAAAAATTACCATAAAATGAACATTAATTATATCGACTATAAATATTCGTGATTCCCCTTGGAAAAAAAAAAAGTTCGAAACGATTGTTACTTTACAATGTGATACTTACCGAATCATGCTTCTTGTGCTTTCTTGCGGAAAGCTTGTCGCATCCTCTTTATAAAAGAGAAGAAATCACGTGAACTATTCAGATGCGATACCAGTTCTTCCAACACTTGATCAAGTGGTGGATTACAGTCGAAAACTAAAAATTTACAGAAAGCTGTAAGTGATTCTGCGATTCGCATGTAACTCTTGTTCACCTACCGGTATATTTCGTCTCGCCTACATCTATGGTAAATGAACATGGGCGGGATGAATCATTCTCGTACACACATGTGAATGTAAATGTTATCGCATCGTCTAAACATTATGTGTAGGTATGATTCAAGGCTTTCTTGATGGATTCGGAAATTGAATCGACGATTACTGAGGATGACAAAATACATACCTCGTACTCCTTCCATTGTCAAGGCCAACCTATCTTCGAATAGTTTTAATTCCGGTTCGTTTTTTGATAATTGTAATTCCAATGACACCTGCTTTTCGGCTAGAACTGATGTCGCACGAGTCAACAAAAAATAAATAAATAAAATGTCAAAAAATAATATTTTTACACTTCGTGGCTTTAAACGATTGTACCATCACGTTGCTTTTGAATATTTTTCTTGACAGTTTCGATTTGTTTCAACAAAGTATTCTTCCGTTCGTTCTTCATAAGTTCTTCGTTTTTTAAATTCGAAATTTCTGTTTGTATCTTGTACAGTTCTTTCTTCTCTTTTTCGAGAGCTTGAGAATTCCCCAAAATCAAAACATTCAATGATGGAATAAAATGAGAAAGGACGTTCGAACGAATTACCCATTTAAAAGAAAAATATCATTCAAAAACTATAATTTTAAAGCAGTCATAAAAGAGATAATCTCAATCTCATCACAATTTGCTCACTTGTGATCAAGTCTTTTTGTTTTTTCTCTAAAGACTTGATGTCCTCGGTATATCGAGTGATGTTTCCTGTAGCAATGGAAAAACCGGCTGCCGTTAAAAGAGGATCCAAGCTCGAAGGGGCACCCGTCAATGTAAAGAGATATACCTCTATCCAACGCGAGGCTACTCTGCCATTGTTGCTTTTTTATAGACAAATTATTCTTGGCCGTATTTACATAATTATTTAAAAATTCTTCAAATAATATAATCTTTTGTTTGTTTTCTTCACAATTAAACTCTACTTTTTTAAACGTGAAATCGTTCGGACTTGTCGGAATTGTGGATGACTCATTGATATTATTACTGATTTTACCCGCATTGTTAACGCGGTTAATCGAAAGGTCTCTGAGAGGTTTGGAAGAGGGTGTTCTCAAGGGCGTTGAATACATTTTGAGTAACGAATATGAAAGGGACGTTGATGTTTTTATAATTTCGGCATTGCGTGATGAAATCATACGCGGTAAACGCGTTTATGGTCACGTGATGATATATATAACATATTTGATTAAAAAAAAAATTTTTTTGATAAATCTATATAACTATTATAAAAAGAATATTATTTTTATTCTAGAATACTAACATTACAGAATAAAATTCGTCGATCTATCAGAAAATTACTGACGCATCTCAAAAATCAATTAGCAAGATGGCGACAGTTTTTAAACTAGCAAAGGCGCAAAAGGATACTAACACTGACAACTCTCAAGATCAAAAAGAGAAGAAATCCATTAAGAATAGACAAAGGGTCCTTGCATTGGCTTCTAGAGGAATAAATCACAGGTTAGATCTATAATTTTTTTTTTTTTTCACTTTGAAATAGTTATATAAAAAAAAAAACTTTTTTTTTTTAGACAAAGACACCTTTTGAATGATTTAAGTGCCTTGTTGCCCCATTTTAAGAAAGGTAAGATTCAATTAGGCTTTTATTTTATGTAGTCATACCCGATCGATAAAATCTTTATTCTTTTATTTAATATTATTTAGATTCGAAACTTGACCAAAAATTCAAACTTGGGATCATTAATGAGCTAGCCGAACTTAATAATTGCAATAATTGTATCTTCTTCGAAGTACGCAGGCGTCAAGATCTCTACCTGTGGGCAAGCAAAACCCCTAATGGACCCAGCGTCAAGTTTCACGTGCAAAATGGTATGTTAAGAGGTGAATTTCTCCATTATGCGAAAACAACTAATTATACATGCTACTATAATAGTTCACACAATGGATGAACTTAAAATGACTGGGAATTGCCTGAAGGGTTCGCGTCCGATTCTTTCATTTGACAAGACATTTGATTCGGAACCTCATTGGGCACTAATAAAAGAAGTCTTTATACACGTAAATATTAAAACTTTCTTCTCATGACTTGGTTCAATAAATTTGATCGTACATTTCTGAGAATTTCTTTATAAACAATTAGATTTTTGGCGTCCCCAAGAACGCTCGTCGAGTAAAGCCTTTCATTGATCATGTAATTTCTTTTACTATATCTGACAACCGAATTTGGTTCCGAAATTATCAGGTACTTTAATTTGATTATGTGTGAAACGTACGGTTACAACATAATGTCAACAGCTTTTATAAAAAGATTGCCGAAAAAGATCCGACGACGACTATCAAAAAAGATAGTAAGGACAAGGACATCTCGCTTGTTGAGATTGGTCCACGGTTTGTCCTAAATGTAATCCGAATATTTGAAGGGAGTTTCTGTGGTGCGACTGTTTATGCCAATCCGGAATTCGTTACCCCAAACCAAGTATGTATAGTTTACAAAACATTCGTCTTGGAAATGTAAACTGATCATTTATTTTAATACAGGTCCGACGCAACATCCGTCTGGAGAAGTCCGACCGATATAAAGCAAGAATGTTGGCGCAAAATGAAAGGAGGATTAAAATAGCGAATAATGAATTACCTGATGATTCCCAAAGTGAATAACAACCCTTAATAATAGGCCCTTTATCTTTAACATCCTTTTGTATTTGTAATAACTATCTGAATTTTCTCTTACAAAATGTGAGTTTCGAATATATAATTCCTATTTGAAAACTTTTTTAAGCATACCAAATCTCATTCTATTGATTAACTCTTAAGTTTAAAATGTTTACAGTCACATCACTTTAGATGAGATTTGAAATGCAAAACAATCAATTGTTTATTTTGTGTAGTGCAACATCATCTCTTTTTTTGGTGGCTTTCTATAATTAATGTTAATTAACCAATTGGCATAGCTTCCCCTAAGGCACCTTGTTTCCACAGATATAGTAATATAATCGTAGGGATACGAAAAGTAGATTATTAAAATTTTTTCGCCTAACGTTTGCAAAGCTAAATTTCCCGCCACTATAAATCATATTCAAGTATTTATTTACAAATATTATAAGAAAATTGATTTACTAGTTTTATTTAAAGTTGTAAATTCCATATTAAATATATTACTAGTTAATAATACACAATTTTTTTAAATTTAATTTTTTTTATAGCAATTGATAAATTGAATTAAAATATTTAATAAACGATAAATATACAGTGTATACAGTATATATAGTCACTCTCTTCATGGTGTACCTCCGCTATATTATTTGTAAAAAAAAAAAAAAATTAATTAATTAATTAATTTTGTGTAACTTGGTTTTAATATCATATATACTGTATGTATATGTTTGTTATTCAAACGAAGTGAATAAAATAATAAAAAGATTTATTAATAAGCGTGTTTCTTTAACTATTATTCAAAATGAAAATAATAATGATCAATCTTTATTTTTTTATAAAAGTAACAATAATTAAATTAATCAAATCATTCTATAAAAAATTTATTATTTAATTATCTGTTATAAAGTTTGATTCTTGAAAAAGAAAACAAATCTCGTAGTTGGTTAAATAACTTGATTTTAAAAACTTTTAAATTAAAAATTAAGTTTTTTTTTTTTTTATTTAATTTTATTATATTAAAAACTTTTTTTTTACAAATGAATAAAATTTTATAATGAATTGATCTAAAATATATCTATATTATATAAGACTTTTCAAACTATTTGAAAATAATTCTTCAATTTATATTAACTTGATATATTATTTAAAAGAAATATTCTTATTTAAAGAAATGTAAATTATACATATATATAGAATATATTTCAATATATTTTTTTGATTTTTCAATACTTACCAATCCTTTATACTTTTTTTATTTTGATTACAAAAGTTTTAAGAAAATCAAAAAGTATATTAATATATTAAAATATAATTTTTAATAATAAAAAAACCATATGTAAATTACTTTTTTATAAATTTTTTTTTATTTTTATCTCTTATTAATATACAAATCTTATTAAATAATTATATTCTTTTTTTGAACTATTGTTTTTTAATTCAAAAAATTAAACTTTATATCAAAAATTGGTTTTATTGTTAAGTTATAAAATTAATAATATATGTATATATACAATATAGTAAAAAAAAAATAACAATTTTTTTAAATTATATTTTAATTAATAATTCCATAAATAATTTTTTTTATAATTTAATATTTTATTAATTTAATTTTAAAGATATAAAAAAAAAAACCAATTAAATAATTTTAAATAATAATAAGAATTTTTTAATATATTTTGTTTTAAAGTTAAAGATATCATTAAAAAAATTGATTCAAAAATAAAATTACAAAATTTTTTTAAAAAAAATTATAACTTTTAATTTAATTAATAAACTTATTAAAAAAATAATATATATATATATTAGAAATATTCAAAAATATTTATATGATATTTTTATATTTTTATAAAATTTTTTGGTATTAAAAAATTAAATTTTAAAAAAAAATCAAAATTTTTTTATCTATTTCCAACTATTTTTTATACAGTATATAAAAAAGAATTAAAAAATTTTGTTATAAATTTTTTTAAACAAACTCTTTTCTACTTCCCCACACTTAAAAATTTCCTTTTTAGAAAATTTTTAAGTTGTTTTCTTTTTGCTTCACTTTTCCTCTTCCCTTAATACTATTTTCCTTTCTTATTACTTTTTTCTTTCCTCTTCTTTTGTTTTTCCTTTCTCTTCTACAAACTTTTTTTTTAGATATAATCCTTTCCTCTTCTTTTTTTCCCTCTCCCTATCAAAGTTAGGTTTTTTTCTTCTCTCTAAAGTTTTTCCTCTCTAAGTCTCTCTTTCTCTTAAAAATTGACACTCTCCATCTCATCACCCCTCTGGCCAGTTGACTCCCTTCTTTCAAGAACCATATTAAGAAGTAATAACTTCTTTTATATTGTAGACCTTAAGAAGTTTCTCGCTTCCATGATTTTTTAGAAAAAGGACAGATAGTTTATCCCCTCCAAAAGATCAGCATGGTTATTATTACCATATCCGACATTGTTTACTTGTTAATAGTTAGACTAGATACATATATCTAAGAAGTCACTGTATAACTATTGTTATCTGAACTTCCAGAAAGTTGCACCTCACTGTATCCAGTAATTTGGCAGCCAATACCAGTGTAAATTTCTACAAGTAACATACTGGTGTCTGGAATATCTAGTAAGATGACATGTGATGACCAGAGATTCTAATTACCTTTACAAATAGAGCTGGTGTCAACAACAGAAGTTTCTTGATCACCCCTCGACAATGTAGATCCATGTGCATGATTAAATAATAATGTCTTTAAGAAACTTCAATTCAACCCTATTTATTGGATACTTCTGTCACACTTGGAAAATGGGTATGCCAAACTCTTTACATGATTTGGAGACCAACCTGTGAAAAGTGGCTGCAATGCCTTCATACATAAAAAAAAAATTAATTCTCTCCTCCTCCACTTCTCCACCTGTTATACATTAAGCCAACTTTGAAAAGCAAGTGTGCCAAATTCCATTCATAACTTGGAGGCTAACCTGTATACTTGGCTGCAGTGCCTTCATGTGTTTGGGTATTTCTAATCCTTCCTAGTTTACACTAGGTACCTGTCTAAGTATTAAGTCTAAGTTTTAATATTATATTTTACTAGCACTTAGGTGAGTTTATAGGACAATACTGGAATGGTCGGAATCACTTTTATTGCATCTTACATTAGACTCTTCTTAGCAAAAAAAGATGTATATTAATTTTTAGATTTGTAATATTGCTATACAGCCATTCTGGTATTAAAAAAAAATTTTTTTTGTTATAAATTTTTTTATTATAAAAATTAAATTATTTTAAAAAATATTAATATATTGATTAAAACAGTATTAAGTAAAGTTTTATTTAACTATATATTTATAAATTTTCATAAATTTTTAATAATTATTTATTAAGCTATAACTAAAAAAATTTTTTGTATCATACTGTATATACTGGATATATCAAAGTTGTAACAGAATATGTCAATAACTAGAAATAGTTAATTAGGTTAGCATTAAGTTACTATTAATAAAATATGTTTAATGTAATAGCTATAAACTCTTATTTAATAAAAGTCTTATAGTTAATATCTATTATAGTTTAAAATAAAATAAAATAAGTATATAAGAAAATCAATTTTTTATTTTTCTATATTTAAGCATTAATATTATTTTTTTGTTATGAAAAAAATAAAAACTTGTAATTTATAATAAAGTTATTAGTAAAATAATAATTGTAATATACTGAATTAAAATTTATTTCAATATTTTAAATATAATATAAAATATTATATTAAAAATATTTTAATTATAATAAAAAGTTGTACAAGTTAATAATATATTAAAATTAAATTAAGAAACTTTAACAACAATTAAATATATATATATATTATAAATATATTTAATTAATTTATTATTATTTTAAAAAATCTTTTTTCATAAAACAAAAAAAACTTTTTCTCACAACACTCCAATTCATAAAAAATTTTCTTTTTTGATAATGTCATAAATGGTAAATAGTAAACAGTTAGCAAGAATTTTTTACTGGAAAAGGAGTTCATCTTTGCTTACTGCAGAGTGCAAGAAGTCAATTAACTTTCCATAGAAGGGTGGATGTTTTGGGAAGAGCAAAAACCTTTTCAAACAAACTTTTTACTTTACATAGTGAAACCTATGTAAGCAATCTCCAAGTTAAAGGAAAACCTTTTTACCCATTTTTATACAAAACATACTCAAAGTATATATAATACTCTTTTTTTTTTAAGCACCTTCTAAAACTATTTCAAAAAATAGCATTTTATTTTTTTCAGAATTTTTTGTTTTCTGCCCAGTCTCTATAGTTTTTACATAACTTTCATCTCATCAAAAATCACCTTCAGTTTACCACCATTAAAAGATTTATCATATTCAATATACCAATCAATACTTGTACAACTTTCAAAAAATAAAAACAATATAACAACCTATCAGATTAAAAGAGTATGAGATCAGTGCCCTGCACAGGTTCTGGTAGTATCATCAAAACAAATCCAAACCAAGAAATACTATACAACTTCATCTCATGACAAATCTCAAATCCGACCACTATACTACCCATACTTAACATTTACTATAACATCAACAACATCGTGACAAATACTATAATAATGAAGTTGTGCCTTGTATTGCCCTACTTATAAAGCAGCCAATGCTTAACTTGATTGAATAGTTTAAGTTTGCGACTTATTTAGAATGGTAGCAGGCTAAGGGTAGAGCCAATACCAATGCTCACAGAAACTGTTATCATTAATAATTTACTAGTTACACCTAGTAGGGAAGAATTATTATAGTAACATTTTCTTTAATAAATTTGAATTTTTTTCTCTTTTACATCCTTTAATATGGAGAGGATTATTTCTCCATTTATAGATAGAAAGTTCCTTCTACCTTTTTCAACTAGTGTTTTGTAAAATATATCTATCTTAAAATAGTATAGGCCAATGTTTATAGCAATATATCTTAATGTATTTTTATTGTTGTAAATTTTATACTTAGTTAACTTTGTAAAAATTGAATCAACAA